AACTGAAAATGGGAAATTTCCTGGAATGGTGTCTGCCTCACTGACAGAACTGACTCATAGTTTGGCCATAAATCCTGTTAGGAATAGATCCTCTTGCATAAACTGAAAATGTTATACATTTTACAGCATCATAGCCTGTAAACAAATATCAAAATTTATGCAATAAGTGATATTTGGGAATCAAATACCATTCAAATGATAGGAATCTCGATTTGATCACTTTAGCAAGTAAACGTGTTGACCCTATTTGACCCATCTCTGTCTTGGACAATGTTGGTTGTATGATTGACAGGAATGGCACATTTTGCAGTTTTGGAATACAGAAGGTTGAGACTTACTGAAACCAGAGACGTTATACATTCCATATTGCTTCATGGCCTGGAAGCCAGAGTGACCAGAGATATGTTGTATGTATGTGTGTGTCTGTGTCTACCTGGTATTCCCTACATAATGGGGACCAAATGTGACCCCAACCGGGATGGTACCAGTAAATTTTGACCTTACGGGGACTTTTTTTGGCTTCCAAAGTTTCCATGAGTTTTTTGACAATCTAAAAATGCAGAAAGCCTTGTGTGATGGGTAGGGTTAAAGTAAGGGGACAGAAAATACCGTTTGTACAGTATAGAAACTGGTAACACTTTACAATAAGGTTCATTAGTTAGCATTAGTTAACTGCATTAATTAACATGAACTAAGTTTGAACAATACTTCTACAGCATTTATTAATATTAGTTAGTTAATTTCAGCATTTACTAATGCATTGTTAAAATCACAAGTTGTGTTTAATGTTATAATGCACTGTGAACTAACAATGAACTGTATTTTTATTAACTAACATTAACAAATATGAATAAATACTGTAATAAATGTATTGTTCATTGTTTGTTCATGTTAGTTAATACATTAACTAATGTTAACAAATGACACCTTATTGTAAAGTGTTACCTAAAATCTATTACATCTATAGAATGTCCCCATAATGATACACTCTGAAAAATGCTGGGTTGTTTCAACCCAACTTTTGGGTTAAAAATGTAATGTAAAAATTTAACCCAACGGTTGGGTTTGTCCATATTTGACACAAAGTTGGGTTGAAACAACCCAGCATTTTTTAGAGTGCAGGAACACGTGTGTGTGTTTTGTATTTTTAACTTACCATTTCATTCATTCTTGCATTCATTCATTCATGCATTCATACTTTAATGTAGCTGCCTGTACTTCTATGCCTGTTGCCTACATAGAACGACAGTAATCTTGGTGATGCCAAGATGGCCACCAGTGGTCATGTGCTTAAACACTACGGCTCCAACTTATGCAGAGAGCATGTGTAAATATCCACATTAGGTCATTGCTTACTTTTGTTGCTTGTAGTTAGGGCTTTATCCCTGAGCATGATGTACCATGTGAACAATTTAATGTATAAGAAACAGGAAGGATGATTAAATAGGAAGTTAAGCTTTGACTAGTATTGTGTGATTCACAGCATTAACAAGAAGTTGACATCAGTTCCCAGCTTAAGCTCGGAAGCTGGTTTTGTGTGTCAAGCTATTCTTCTCTGTAGCACCTCTGGGTGAATGAAGTCATGCTCTTTCTACATAGATCATTCAAAGTGTACCAGAGTGGGTATCTGAGTGCTAAGTGAGTGCACGCAAGCTTATGTCAGTCAGCCTCTAACTCAAATTACTAGTAAGACAACGGAGTCGATGATAAAATAAATATTGTTCTGCTTGTCCTACGTATCGAGACCTTTTGTTTATGTTTGTGTCTGAAAGAGAATAAAGTCAATGTACTATTCAGTCAATGACCTAACATTTGTGTATGACCATACCACCTCATGAAACTGGTTCAAACAGGCTTCCAAGTCAGCATAACTTTGCGGCTAATGACATTCAAATAACAAATTCAGTAGCCAATCAAATATTTACAATAATTATTGTTGATAAAAAATTGAATAATACTGGAAAAATGGAAAAAACTGGTGGGAAAAGTGTCTTATTAGGCAAGATGTGATGATAACAATGAATTTGGATGTGCCTTGATGCCTCTATACTGTGTGTCTATTCCCTATGTTCAGGTTTCAGAAACAAACTATGTGTGTAACACAACAAAAAAAGACATCCAAACCACATCTGAGCTTTGTCATTCTGCTGTGCCTTTAGGTTAATAATGGTGATATTGTGTATATAAGCAATTTCAGTGCTTCAAAGTTATCATAAAATTACAATTTTACATCTGACCCTTTGTTATCTTGGTGGTGTTTTCATTGAGATGTGATTTCCTGAATGCATGAAGAAGTGATCCAAACCAAAGAGCTGTTACACTTGAGGTTTGTCTGGCTCAATCACCACCTGTAACCAGAGGCGGACAAAGTACACAACTCCATTACTTGAGTGAAAGTACAGATACCGCTGGTCAAATATTACGCCATTACAAGTAAAAGTTGTAAAGACAGATTTTTACTTAAGTAAAAGTACAGAAGTACTTGCTTTTAAAAGTACTTAAGTACCAAAAGTAAATTTCCTTAATTAAGTCAATGCACTGTTTTATTATTGTTGTATGTAATACTTGCAATACCTCTGAAGCAACTTACAATACATTACACCTACTGAATAGGCTGACTAGCTTGTAGTATCTTTGGAATAAAGAGCTTTTAGAATGCTAAAAAACAAAACAAAAAAAATTATTATTATTTAACACCCCTACCCACCCCCACAAAAGCAGGATGGTAGTGATCTCACACAGCTCTGGACACATCTGTGTAGTCATTCATCCACATTTGAACAGAGTGGACAGTGGACAATATTTTCACTTACATAATTTAGCAAAATCAGACAATATTGTGTCAAATATAAACCACAATATTACCTTCTTATTATTGAATTGTTGTAAATAAATATAAAATTTGGAACTGGTCAGTGCTCAAAAAATGCTGGGAAATCACTTCATGTAGCCCCAAGAGTGATTACCGATAAACTGTCTGAAAAAAGAAAGTCACATTTTAGAGAAGAAAAAAATCACCCACTGACTTTTAAAGCTACTAACGACTTTCTACTTCGAGGATCTTGATAGCAATGTAGTGGAGTGAAAAGTACAATATTTGTCTTTCAAATGTAGTGAAGTTGAAGTCATAAGTTTCCAGAAAAAATAATACTCAAGTAAAGTACCGATACTCAAAAGTACACTACTCAAGTAAATGTACTGAGTTACTGTCCACCTCTGCCTATAACAACACGAAGACATTGACCTATTAGTTTCTTATTGCAGGTTTAAAACTCTGTTAGTCTTTGTCAAACGTTACATACACTCTTAAAAATAAAGGTGCTTCACGATGCCATAGAAGAACCTTTTTGTCTAAATGGTTCCATAAAGAACCTTTAACATCTGAAGAACCTTTGTTTCACAAAAGGTTCTTTGTGGTGAAAAAAGGTTCTTCAGATTATAAAAAGGTAAGAAAGAGATGGTTCTTTAAAGAACCTTTGACTGAATGGTTCTTTGTGGAACCAAAAATGGTTCTTCTATGGCATCGCTGTGAAGAACCTTTTGAAGCACCTTTATTTTTAAGAGTGTAACCCCAATCATCTAAGAGACACGCAGTGAACACAGTGAAGACACATTCACTTATGTAACCATAATGATTTACTCTGGACCCAAGAGTCCTTACATTTGTTTAGAGACTTAAGGGGGTAGGTGCTAATTCAGCGACTGTTCAAGTGACTGTTTAGACAACATGTAGTGCTCTTCAAGGTCTTCATTAGTGTAATGCCAGGCCATATTCACACACAAAATTGGATCTAAATGTTGTTAAATTAAGGATGGTTTTATGAAACCGTCATCCTCCCCCAAACCTCTTTCTGGATGGACTCAATTACTGGTAAATGTTTTGTCTGTTCGCAGTTGTAAACTGACCATCATCTGTTTGTTTGACTTCCTCCCAGTAGACTCAATAAATGCTGTGTTTCCTCCTGTACAGTGAGGAAAAATGTTGAGTGCTGCTTAACAATACAGACCCTCTTTATGATAACCCAACTCGCTTGTAAATGCGCGCGACCATTCGCTGACCCTGGAGAGGATATGTGTCTACATTATTAGTGTTTATTAAAGTAAATCAGCAACAGCAGGCAGCCTCCTCGGGCAAAATGAACGAACATTTGGAGAATTCCGTTATCCCTAAAAGGCAGACATGAGGCAATTTCTCCATAAAACCTGAACCCACTAAAAAGTGGCTTTGCCAAGCACAGAAAGGCCATTTTGAGCATCCAAGAGTCAAATGACTTAATGCACATAAAATCAATCCATGAACTCATTTGTTGAGATTAGCTTGCCTTTAAACAAGAACCAATCACATTCTTTAGACTCGTCGTCAACGTTCACACACAAGCCCTCTGATTGACCGTCAGACAAACAAAGCGATCGTGTGTTATTCGAATCGACTCCAAAGCGCATCAGCGGACGTGCTAAGTGACTTCTGACAGCTCATTTGTTTTGGGCCTCCCACTAAAGAGATTACCAGAGGCAAATACCATCAGTGAAGGGGGTTCATGGAGATAAATTAAAGTATTTGTTTAATACAGACTTACTTTCTTTATGCAGCTGCCAAGTTCTAGATGAAATGGAGAGGGGGGGGTTTAGGACAGTGGAACTGTATAAGACATGGATTCGGAGTATGAAAATCATCCAAACGCTAAAAATGGAAGATAATTCGGGCATGTCGCCCACATTAGGGGATTTGTTTAAAGAGCTTTTGAGTGATTCTTTGTCAGCGGAGAAAAACACAGAAGTAGTTCGACAATTAACCTGCGTATGGGTGAATTCGTGTCTGTCTATTGAGTGCCTGTCTACTTGGAATTTATGGAAACAATTTCAAGATAGCTTTCTCATAATCGCATCGGCATGTGTTATAAGTTTAGGTTTTGTAATGTCTCGCATGCCTTTGGAAAACTGGGTTTATGTTGTAGTGTAGAGCAGCAATTCGCATCAGAAGAAAGAGAAGAACTCTGTTGTCAGATGCAAATCTTACACAGACCTTTATTGTTCTTTTAATAGTTGATTTTTACACCACATACTGTACACCGCAGTCCTTCTCAATAATGTACATCCCTTCTCATTTACAAACTTTTACAGACATTTTGAAGTGGTCATAACATACTTTAACCTTCTTTAAACTGTTCATTCTCCTAAACATACTTTCATTTTCCTTCTCAAAACAAAATCTTGGCTTTTAAAACCAGTGTATCAAACATTCCTACTTCATGAAGACACTACGAAAATATGAATAACAGCAAACCAATGTCCATGAATGGTTGCTAATATCGAGTCGCGCCAATCATCAAGTCCATCTAGTCATATCCAACTCTATTCCAAAGTTTCCTTCTAAATCTCACATCAACATTTCTCAAGCCCTCATTCAACATTTCTTCTATCCGACAGTCCGTTTCTACAACAACTTTCTGCTTTGACAAGCATGTACATGCACTGGGCCCTCATGATAATACAGGCAGGGCTCAACAAGTAAAGCTCCATGCAAGATGCTACATTGAAATATTCATCCATCATTTGGGGGGGAACATATGGCTCAGATTTGATTTCTGCATTAACATTAATTAGCATTTTGTCTTGATAAAAATGATACCTTCTGATTTAAATATAAAATGGAGCTGATAAAACATCTGTTTAATGGGAATGTACTTGTAAGACTTGCCTTCCAGTAGAGCTATGAATCAGACTTTTACAAAGTATTCATTGCTTTGGATATGTCATCTTTTTTTCTCAGTGGGTATTCTTCCCTTCTAAAAGCTAAACACAGTGCTTTTAATAAAAACAAAAAAGAGCTACAGTAAATATCTTATTGATAAGTTTAAAAAAAGTAAAACTTTAATTACAAAAAAAAAAAAATCACACATATGACCAAACTAACAATAAACAAGACTAGATGTGTGATCTTGCGCTTTGGCCTCACGAATACTGTCTTTCTGGTACTGGTGCGGCCCACATGGACCTGGGAGGGTTTTGGGGGGAGGGATTTGGTAATAATAGCTGCCATTGTGGACAGTAACAGAAACACTGCTGTAGAAACACACAGTCCATACACGCACATAAATACAAGTCCTCCACACAGTGCCACTCCATGTGCACCCTGGGATAGCTTAGTCTTTACACCATGGTCTCCTTTCTCTTGCCCAACGAGCAGATTGAACGCTTGTCCTTTTTGGATTTGCGGGGCAGGAAGGGGGCGGAAATTGAAGATGATGAAGAGGACGAGGAGAGAGTGGAGGTTGCAGAGGGTGTGGGGCTGGGGGGCTCCTCAGAGCTAGGGGACGAAGGGGCGGAGACCACGGCCCGTGGACAGTTCTCATTCGTCTCTTCCATATGGATGATGGCGGAGACGGAAGACGAGCGCCGTTTGGTGCAAATGTCGGTACTGGCAGGGGTGGACAAGGATTCACTCTCAGGGAGCGGCGAATCTTTCTGGGTCGACATGGCAGTGCGGAGGCAATTGATCCACTGTTGCTTGTGGAAGACGTCATTGACCTGCAGTGTGTGGGACTGGCCCTGAGATGGGTCCTGGAAGCGTACCCGGAAGATGTTCTTGGCTAAAGGGGGGAAAAAGATATTCCAATGAGCAAAAGGAAACAAGAAATGACAAAGAAAATGCGTGATCAGGTTGAGAGTCGTCAACCTTACCTTTATCGGCATTACTAAAGGCCCCTCGGAATGAGCCGCCCATGCGGACGTCTCCATCCTGCAGGTCTTCCAATACGAGATCCTGCACTGGGATCGGCTGGCGGTACACCTGGAAACAATGCCGATCGTTCCGCGTAACAGGCCGGGTCAAGACCAGAACCTCCGTGAAGAGAAACACATGCAACTTCTAAAAAGAGGACAAAGGAAAAAAGAGAGATCTGGTTATTGATGTGTTGTTTGAACGTTGGGCTGAATTTGCAAGTATTAACAATTTTCTCTCCTGGCGCTCTCAAAGATTCCCTTGTCATTGTGTCATTTGTTTGAGGGACAAAGGGAGCCAGTTCCTTCCCTCTAATGGCCTTATTTGGAATATGGTGGCTTTTGTGTTTATATTTCCAGTGAATAAAAGACAAGTGATTTCCCTCCAGTGGTTTGGGCTGTTATGGGTGTGTTTGTATTGAAGACAAAAACTTACCGTGCCACTTTTGTTGCGAAGTTCCCCATGGCAAAGCAGGCTCTTGCACTGCTCTATGCGAGGGTCTTTCTGTCTGTCATCCAAATATTCCAGCTTATCGATATAGTACTGACACTCAGACTCCCCTTTCTTCATGTTTATGTCAGCCAACACGGCCTGAATGATGCTTATCTGGAGACAAGGAACAAAGGCAGCATTAACATCAAATGTCACCTAAACGACTCCATTTGAAAGCCTACAGTTACTAGATTTGTGTCTGAACTTACTGCCTGCTCAAGGCTTGCTGTGTCTGGGTGATCTGGCGGTGTGTGTCTTAAAATCTCTTTCAGAAGAAGGGGGTATTTGACCAGTCGTGAACGAGGGATGTCTAAGAAGCTCCACAAGTCTAGTTTCCTGCTGAAAGGTGACTCAAGGCAGCGCTGTAGGAAGTCCTGAACTCTTGGGTCCTGTTTCTTCTGGTCAAGCAAGGCTTTGGCGGCCAGCTGGTTACTGCAATATGCCCTGTACGCATTTAACCTTGGCAGCTGTGGAGCAAAGCGAGAATTAGTCTTAACAATCTAACAATGTTAGCATGCCTTTTATAATAATGAAAGTACAATCAAGAGATGGCTACTTACCCAGTCCACAACAATCTTGCCTATCTGTCCCACTGTGCCATCTGGGCCTGTAGCCTTCGCCAAATGAGCGAGAAGATCTGATTGGGTAAAAAATGAGTTAGCTCTACTTGTCGTCAAAAGTCATTAAAAACAATAAGGTGTTGTGTACAATATTCACCTTCATGAAGAGGAATATACGCATCTAAGTCTCCAAAGATGGCTGTCAGCTCCTCCTCAGACATGATAGAAAGTTTCAGCATTGGATCATGGTACGCCTGGACATAGAAAATTAGAAAATGATGAGTAAATAATAGCAGCTTCTAATTTTACAGGGAGAGACATTTTTGGCTATAAATGGAGGAAGGAAGTGAGCCAATGTATCTGACTCTGAAAGCACAGCCAATAACTTATTCGGTCTGTTTGCTTTAAATGTTCTAACAAAAAAAATTTAAATGGACAAACCTTTCGGGCTAATTTCAGGTCTTCAATCAGGTCCTGTTCTCCTCGAGACAGCTCAAAAATAGCCTGGAGAGACAGAAAACGAACGGTCACATTCATAACCAAGAAAACAGTTTGGGTATTTTTAGTCAAGCCCCCTACATATCTGTCTGATTCCTCCCTTTGGTGGGAAATATTTGAGGGGCTCACAGTTTGCTGTAATGTCTGATTACTAGGTCTAGTTGTGAATGAGAGGTGGAGGCTTTGTGCGTCAGACCGGCCAGTCTGTGTTAGCACTGTACGTCTGACTCTGAGACGCCAGAATGCAGCCGGACTCTCTCAGCTCCATTCCAATGTGTGCCAAGAACACACGCCAAAAAAACACAGCCAGACTGAGAGAGGTACAGTGAGGCAGAATAAAAACAGAGCAAGAGGAACAGGGCGCTTTCCAAGCCCCAGGTCCTTTGGGTTTAATAAGTCACACAGGCCTCATTCAGTAGCGTCTGGCAGGGGGACTGAAAGTGGATTTAATAGTCTAGGTTTCTCGGTGCTGTCTGGATTCCTCACCTCTTGTCTCTTAATCTCTTTGGTGGAAAAGGTTCCTTTCTGATGGACGTCCAGGGTCTCAGACCAGAGCATGCTGTTTCGTCGCTTGGGTGGTGTGGGAGCCGCAGCCTTGCTGCAGGGTTTCTGCTGGGGCACACCCGGAGACCGACCGTCGCCCCGAAACGAGGCCTGGAGGGTCTGGCCGAAGCGTCGGACGGCCCCATTCTTCACGGGAGAGATGAGGTTCGCCAGCGAGGTCACTCGGCCGAGAGGCCGCACACGCTTAGTACAGGGTTCCTATGAAACACAAGGATGGAAATAAACATTAAAACTTAATCACCCCCAAATGACCACAACAGATTCCTTAGTGCTTCATTAACTGCACAACTGCCAACACAAGAAGGCTAAAAATCGAGAATGGAGGACAAGTTTCTGCCTCACATAAACAGAGGCTATCGTATGAGTATCGTATTGCGGGGGTGAAGGGGTCAACCGGAGGTCAGGGTGATCGGTGTTTCCTGGGCAACAGACAGCTTGGCGGAAGCTCCAGCCTCTGGAGGCAGCAGCTGTTATGCCAGTCACGTGAGATTGACCCCCTCAGCAAAAAAAAAAATTATATATATACCTACACATACAAACACGAACAAAGACCCCTCTCTGGCTGCAACCCTGGAGACTCAGCATTCAAGAGGCATGACTGGAATGTAGGAGACCTCAGTCAGCTGTCCCACACTGATGACCCACACACACTCGACAACATAGCCTAACTATAGCAAACAGGCCCCCCTGATCAGGGTGGTTGTTCACTTAATGGAGACAAATGTGCTCTTTCAAGAAGACGTTTAAGAGCTGTTGGTTGTGTGTTTTTATGTGGGTCAGACGGACCACCACGTTTAGTTACAGATTTGACCCAGGACTTTAAACAGGGTGCACTCTACTCCCTTCTACTCTGTTCCTCTCTCTCCTTTCCTCCATTAAGAGCTGTTTATGGCTTCGTGTTGAGGCAGGCCCTGTAGCCCTTGCGTGAGAGAGACAGGCACACCTGAACCCCCTGGAAGAGGGGGAGGTGAGCACTCTCAAACCTTATATCCATAATGACTGGGCCTCCAGCCAACTTCAACAGACCTGAGAAGGGGAGAAAAAAATCAAAGCAAAGGAGATCTGAGACATTGATCCTACACTCTAGAGATCTGACTGAAAAATTCTCCAACCATTCCAGGAACAATGTGAGCTTTGTCGTCAAAAAAAAGTGTTTGCGTCTTTCAAACAACGAGAACAAAAAGCACTGTGTGCTTGCACTTTTTAAAAATGCACATTTCAATTGATTTTTCAGTGCTGGATGGTTTTCCAGCTGCTGAAAGTATATAAAAAAAGGATGTGTTGTTCTCTTGGCAAAGTGAAACCAAGGAACCATTCCTCCGACCAGCAGAGACAGCTGCCGAGCAGATCTACGACTTAATTTTAGCAGGAACTGCAACTGTGGTCCAAGCCCAACTGGACTTGGCCACCCAGATCTGCCTGCCTGCCCTTCCTCTGCTGTAACATATCATGCAAGTAAACATGAAGACCACAACTGAACCTTCTCCACCGGTGGCCAAAAACACAAGATGTTGGGGAGACTGACCGCAGAGGAAGCAGTCTGGCTCAAAACTGGATTTAAATGAGTACCAAAGTACCTGTGTGAGCCATCACTGGCTCAAAGCAAATAATTGCAGTGTTACTGCTGCCTATTGCACTCTTTCTACTATTTAGGGAAACCCTGCAATAATAAACCTTTTTTTTAATTCTAGATTATCTAGTGGAAAGAGCAACATGTAAGCAGACAGATAGTGTGGCTATTTCTGGCTGTGTTGACTCGTAGGGACTCCCTGGGAGAGTCGCATTGGGAGAACTTAGCAGGGGGAAGTCTCCCCCACAGGAACCAGTATTTAGACTACTGCTGTTAAGTAATGTGTGCGTGTGTTTTAGTTATACGTTGGGGACAAAATTGTCACTAGAAGTTGGCTAAAGGTTCCATTGGGAACAACCCCCAAAAGTAAAGGAAAATTAAGTAATATAATAAAAAAAATTCTATACTTTTTTTTATTCTAAAAATGCAAAAGATTTTAGGGGTACAGTTAGTCTATTGTTATTATTAGCTGTGAATAAAAACAAGATAAGTCTATGGTATTTTGGCATGAAAATGATTACCTGGCAAACAAACAATAATTTGTGATAAAAAATGTATGAGGGGAACCAAGCTCTAGTTATTGTCCCTCAGCCTTGAGCCACAACTTCCTTAAAATCTCCTGATTCATTCATAATTTGCTACTTCTGCTTTAGATTTCCCGACAACTAAACCACTTTGGCCACTTCCGAATCTGAATTGAAACCGCAAATAGGAATAGCAGCCTGCTGAAATGAAATGAGAGAAAAGCCATTTTTCTTGTTCTTAAATGCATTTCTAAATACTCAGAGCAGGGCTCAAGCACACCTGGGCTATGGGCTGTGATTGCTTTCAGAAAGCTGGAATGTTCTTCATCTCTGCATGCTCTCACACCTTCAAGGAAAAAAAACCCTGAGGGGCTCCTCAAACAATTAATATACCTGCAAAACTTTTGCTCAGGTGTACAGCCAAACACACAGGATTTAAACTTCCTGTATAAGCACATTTAGCCACCACAATGACAAACTGACAATTAAAAAAAAAAAGTTAACATGTAAACCAGTAACTCAATGACTATAGCTGAGAAGACCTTTAGCCTTGTTGATTTGCCGATCACTCACTCAAGTCTCACATCCTCGAGAAACACACCTGTAGTTCTTACTCCTTTTAAAGGCAAGAGTGTGTACCAGATAACAACATGGCAAGGTACTGACTTGGCTGATAAAGAAAGTAAAGGAACTCAAACATTTTTGATTAATCGCCTTTGGGTCTCACCTCTAGTTCTTTGCAAGTCTGGTTCTGGTAGTCTATCTTCTGTAAAGTCCGTTTGATAGGTACCACACAGGGTTCATCGTAAGCCACCATTTCTTTCAATAAAATCCACTGGTTGGTTTCTGTTATTTCCAAGAGTCGGCAATAATCCAAAAGTGATTCTTAAATAAATACGTGATGTAACATGAGGGATCTGAAAACCTCACCGTCCCCCTAACTTGTCCGCCTGAGCGGAGCTTTCTAACTTCTAAACACACTCTCGGTGTGTGTACTCTAACAATCTCTAACTTTGTTCTAGGGATGTGAGAGGTAGGGAGTGCTCATATACAGAGTTTTGAAAGGGGCGGAATCAGGATGTAAACTCACCAATGGCAAGAGGGCGGAGGAGGGGATATGTAAAAGTATCTGAAGAGACAAAGTCTGAGAAAACCTGATTATCTCTGCAACCTCATTCCAACAAAGATTGTCTACTAGATATTACCGAATCAGAAATGTATTATCAAAACATTCCATGGTCCACAAAGCAGGAGAGCTTATAAACATTTTGTAAAAACTGGTTTATTAAATAATCCTTTTCACTTTTATAAAATTTTCTGTCTTAAAAACCTAGATTTAAACCCTAATTAAAGTCATTTTGGACCTTAAACAAACTAACCAACCAAACCTCCCATATTCCCCAGTTTGCAGTAAAAGCTTTAAGATAAAATGCAAAACAGTCTAGCTTTGTGGTGAGTGAAAGCGAGTCTGTTTCTATTTGCAATGTGGATTGGTTTATGCATGTCTTTAAGTTGCATGAAGGATGTAAAGTACAGGCATATTTGCTTTGAGATCTGCCTAATGAAGAACTGGGTCGTTATCACCCACTCATCAGCAGGGGAGGGGAGGGGGGGGGGGGATCAATTACAATATCAATCAGGGCTGAGGGGGTCACACGCATACAGTGCACTGGTGGCTGTCTGTGTATTGGAGGTGTGTGGGGAGGTCTGATAAATCAAAAAGTTTCACTGGTTCGAACCCGAAACTGACCCAGACCATGCCATACAAATCCTGCTTAACAAAGCTGCTTTTCTCTCTTTTTCTCAGCGTACACAAAACCGCACAGCCATTGACCTCCACATTTGGGTGACCCAAAATCCACTAGCACTGGTTCACTACAGACCCAAATCTTTTACTGCTACCTTCCCACACTGTCAGCAGAGGTATTAACTTCAGCTGTGCAAATGGACTAGCATGTGATGGTGCTTTTTAAGAGAGATTTGTGTTAAAAAGTGTGAAAGCGTTGGGATGCATTCTAAGCAAATGGAGATGAACGATGTGCAGACACTAAGCTCACCCTCCTGTGTCAATACAAGTGTGTGAAAGGACATGCATTAGTGTGTTTGGATCAGGACACCTTCCACTGCTCAGTGGACGGGTCAAACTGAAGCAGGATTATTTGCTAATGAGGCTGCGTTCAATTTACATGTTATTGTATTTAAAACATTACACTCCCTATTTTCACAACTAATCAGTGTATTTTCATAGTGTGTGTATAAAAATCACATTTACGTACTTTTTTTTTGTTTTCAACTAACTAAAACCCAAACCAACTAAAATCAAAACCAAAACCAACTACATTAACAATTACCATCTACACTCTTCAAAACATCTTTCTTTGTGTTCCACAGAATAAGAAAAAAAAATCATACAGGTTTGAAACAACATGAGGGTGAGGAAATTACAAGGCTTTCATTTTAAAGTAAACCATCCCTTTATCAATCATTCTCAGTTCCTCAGAACAGCATTTGCAACATCATCTTATAAATTAAGAAACTGAAAGTGCAACAAATTAGATGACTAATCGACAAAATCGGATAAATGTAAACTTGTGAAATTATAATGTGAATTGCAGTAAAACATAGTAATATATGGCACATTAACTAATGTCAATGTCATTAATTTTACCACTACAAGTGGCTTTACTAAACAAGTGAAATTAGCTTAAAACATTTTTTTTTTGTCAAACTTGAGTAAAATAGTGTGTAATTTTTATTGTGCAGTTTACAGTTTGTATAACATTTGTGTGCATATATTATAAATATTTAAGTATACAAATATAATTTACATAGTACAATTTATTACAGTGTAACAAAAAAATATTTTGGACAATGTTTGAACCTTTGTATTGCTAACACTTTTCATGTTATTTCCTCCTTATGATAAATCATTTGTATTCTTCATTCTAAGTCGCTTTGGATAAGTGTTTGCTAATGAATATATATATAAAACAGAAATTAAACAAAAGAATACATGATTTTAATAATACTTTTTGACCCATCTTTGCCATAAGTATATTAGATGTTGGTGCTAGCAGTTCATAACCGATTTAGCAGCAGTTAATGGGTTTAATCATGTGACTACTCAGCACATAACGGTTGTGCAAAAAACAAAAAACAAAAAAAAAAACACCTGAATATGTATGGCTAAAAATCAAATAGGGCTACCAGTGTGGGTGATATCAATAACAGGGTTCCTTCATCTCGGCGTGTTTTGGCGAGACGTGTGGTTGTCATATTGCATGAGAGCTTGGCTCAGCCTGTACCCCCTGCAGGCTAACACCTCGACACACATGACAGCTGGACATCTGGGTGTGAAGCACAAACACAGCACTCCTACTTTAGTGCTAAACACCAGCACACAAGAGTGACTCACTTCATGCGGGCCGTGTGCGAGCTTGCCTAACGGGAACATGTGAGCTAACTTGCTATGATCTGATAAACCTCTGTTGAATAGGCAGCGAGCAGAAAGGTGTGCAGTGGATCGTAGTGCTGCCCCCTAGTGGATAATTCAATAGTACTGCGGTTCAGGTGACTGATGGAATTTCAAATTTGATTTCTTCGTGGATGGATGGTCCATGATGCATTATCTATACTTGTACAGACTTTGATTAGCAACATAAAGAACATCTTATGATAAAACCTCTTCTGTCCGAGTTTTTGAAAGCTTTCGGTTTCTTATCAGTGTTGGAAGAAATCGCATCTACTGTAACAAAGGTGTGGTTACAAGACAAGCCTGTACTGGGAATAGGCTGTAGGTGCGTGACGTCTAAATGTGTAGGTGTACATCAACAACGCAACACCAACTCTTTTTCTCTGGAATCACTCTATCAATTGCCATCTCAACTTCAATGCCCAACCCCATGCATTCATCTTATATGCCTTTTTCCTTCCGTGATACGATCCTCCATGCTGCTTACAAAATGTAAATATGGTAACCCATCTTGTAAATGTAAATATTCCACACCATCGTGACATTCCAACCTGTATGAATTTCTTCAGTGGAACAAAAATAAGACATTTTGAAGAAAATAGCTGACTCTATGGCTTCTGATGACTTGGAATATAGCACAAAAAACACATGAGCCACTTTTATGGTGTGTTTGCATCCTTTCTGAAGCTAGAAAGCACCAGTCCACATTATAATTGCGTGCATCTACATTCTTTAAAACACCTCCTCCTATGTTCCACAGAAGAAAAATCAACAGGTTTAGAATAACATGCGGGTAAGAAAATGGCTCTACAACAATCCATCTCAGTTCCTTATAGTCATTTGCAGCATCCTCTTATAAATAAAGAAGCTGAAACCAAAACAGATAAAACTAAACTTGTGTTAAGTTATAATGACTTGCAGTAAAACACATATGTGGCACATTAACATTAATTTTACTATTACAGTGGGTTTGCTAAACACATGGAACCATAATTAGCTTTTTAGTCGTTTCTTATTTTGGTGTGCCACCAAAACTCCAACTACAGAAAAACAGATAAAAATCACACACATCCTGATCTCAAGTATATTTAACTCCAATTGAGTCAACGCACCCTCAACAGAGGTGGTTGCCACCAAACAGAGCAGGTAACTAATAACACACCCCTCGGTCCAGACACACAACAGAGTCAGGACGCATCCCACACACGCGTACAGACTCTTTCCTTCTCATTCTCACAGACTTAAACAATATATCGCAATCTGATCTGAATCAGATCAGACTTTAAGCTACGCCAGTTAAATTAGTCACAGAGTAAGAACTTCAACTGTGACCATTTAAAGACAACATTGACACTTTTGTGAATACTTTTGTACATTGTGCAAATTTGGTAGTTACATTAAGCAGAATCTGGCGAGTATGCATTTAGCAAATCTCAATTTGACAGTCAAGATGACAATGTAAAGTAATCAGAACAAGGCCCTGAGGGGAGTGCAGAGGAAAATAAAAAGGGTGTCTGCAGGACAGGTGATTGATTGTACAAAACCCACACCTCCCACAATATGCATTCTCAAAGGTGTGCTGTGGGGAAGGGAGTTGGGAACTTTTGTTTAATGCACTATAGTGAAACAAGTTTCACTCTAGAATAGTCTGGGTCAGAATGAACAAGTGACTGAAATATTTCAAAGATGTGAAGTAAAGGCATTGAGGCCTTATTCCTCAAGTCATTCCAAACCTACATGACTTTTCTTTACTAGATCTATCTATGATATATAATCTCCTACTCTAGCAATACTATACTAAAAAGAATACATTTGCCAATGTTGGGCATTTTGTTATGAGATGTTTTTGTGCAATAACTTTTGCAAGCTTTTTTTTTTTGCAAAACTTTTTTTCCATTCCTTAAGGCATGTACGCTCTGGTGAATCAGAGCTCTCTCATCTCGTAGGCGCAAGACTGATGAAAGTCATCTTGGTTATATTGTTCTCCTGTCTGTCAAAGTTCAGAGGATCTGAGTGTGCTCAGTGCGACCTCTTACTAAACTGTAAAAAACATTGGGTTGCTATGGATGTGTATTAATAAGTCAACTGTTCTCTTTCAGAAGGAGAAAAGTAAAAAAATAAACGAGAGGATTCAAGATCAGTGCAGAGTCAAATTACACAACTTGTTAGTTTACACAGCAGCGCGTCTTAATTAAGCCCTTGCTGAAATGAGGATAATTACTGACAGTTATCATGGAAAGTTTACGGTTTAGGGAGAAATTACCTTTCCGATTATCAGTGGAACGATTTTCTAAGATTAAATTCCTCCAGTTTAAGGTTAAAAGGCTTTGATTTCTGCCACAAACAAGTGATTTAATCTAGGATTCTTGTGCAAAATGGCTTTGATTTGGCTGACAAATATGGCAGAGGGGGGCATTTTTTTCTTTCTTGATGTTGTTATAATGAGACTTTGATGTTATTTTGAAGCATGTTGTGGACAGACTAACTTCAGGGAGTAATTTAAAAAGCAAGACCTCTTGATTTGTGTATTTCAATAAATCAGTTGTGCCAAATCTGCCCAATGTTGTTTTGCTGGTTTACTTACCTTGAAGTCAAAGCTGCATAGACTGACAGCGTCTGCATCGTCCTTCTCTCTACGCTTGCGTTTCTGCAAAAAGGAAAACAACCTTTAAGAATCTGAAGCACAATACACATCTAAACTAAAAGGTGACACTTACAAAAACTGTAAAAACTTTCCGGCTTTGAGAGAGGAACCAAGGAAGACATTCTTTTGTCAACTTCTCTACAGTTTTCCTTTAGTTTCCTGAATAATATGCAAAGTGCTACCTCAAAAGTTGGTATTACGGGTTACAATGGCTCATAAGGAGGTCCAGTGAGACTCAGGAAGGACATCATTATCCCTGAGGCATTTTAACACCTGTGTCTGTGAGTCGGGGGCTGGTGGGGCATCTGGCTAGTGAAAATTCTACCTGTGGAGTGTGTGCAGGGTGTGAAGGGGTTATAAACTTTTTTTTTATTTTATTTTTTTTGCAGCACTGTGTTGGCCACCAAGAGTCCTCAGGGTCTCTGTTATTGGCGTATGTTCTCTTTACTAGACTTTTCCCAAAACCACTTTACGAAACCTTTCAACACAGGCCATTTAAAGACAGTTTAGTTGGTGGCTGAGCTATAGTTTAATGAACCTCCCAAGAAGACATCAGCCCCTCCATATAACTAGACCCACATGGATCTGCACTTTTTTATTTTTTGCATTATAATGAAACAACATTTTGTATTTTATTCAATGATAATTATGTATGTATACAAGCAATAGACAAAATATCATTATTAAACCCACAAGTAGGAGGTTTTTGAATGTTAGTAAATCTTGACTATTCATCCAGAGTGAGGCTACATATTGAAAAACGGGTGGTAGTTTTAATGTGCCCATAATCTACATTACACCTTTATATTCAACACTTACAAAACAGGGCTAGTTTGCAAGTCATTTAAGTTTGTCTATGAGACAGGTATCAATTGAAAAGCCCCTATTCTTAATGTCACTGTCACTAACAGAAGTAACGTCTTGATGAGCTCTGTTTTCTTATAGGGTGAAAGCATTTGTAAAGTCATGTGATCAAAACCAAACACCCTATAGCCAGCTCACGAGTTTCATTGAAGCAATGAGTAGATTAGGCTAATTTAACATCAGACCCATTGATGGCGAACAAGTTGGCAAACACTAAAACAATAAATGACAAGGTATCATTTAGCAAATCCCCATTCACAGACAACGGGGAGAATTAATCAAGACCCTGATTGGAGGGTTTTAGTTGACAGTAATGATTGCCGGCCCATCAGAAGCTGAGCTACTGAGTGAATCACAGGTTACTCATGGTGTTTGGTTTTGAACGTTTTAATAGATAACACAGATAAGCGGCTGCTTTTGTGTTATCTGACCATGGAGAAAAGCTAATAGTCTGTAAGTTTACAAGTGGCACTGATACTGCTAGTGTATTTAGATAAAAAATTTATGTAAAATAAAAAATTAGGTCACCATTGGAAAGCATAAAAAAATCACTCGGAAGAATAAAACTAAAGCTTCACAATAAGAAAGAAAACTGAGAGCAACAAAGAGAAAAGGTCCAAATGATAGACAAGCCGTGTATTTTGGCTCCAAACTGCATGTTCCTGGTGGACAAACCATAAATGGATATTACTGCAAAGAATTTATGAGCGCAAACAGCAGCTGGCACAGAAAACATGAGATTATTAAACAAGCTCAATCAAAGTCACGTTTTTGGGACACTGCATATTGCAGGGGTCAATAAGAGCTTGGATGAAGAGTTTGTGCACATGATGGCCAAGACATGTGGTTTTGACATCTGGATAAAATCAATATGCACGAAGCCCATCTGTTAGAGAGAGAACACTGATTACCAATCAATGAGGGGAAAAAGTCTAAAAAGCAAAAAATTTAATGGAAAAGTCAACATGAAATGGTGTTTGCAACCCATTTAACTTCTGTAATGTGACATTTTCCAAGTAAAACTGGATATTCAATTAGAGAAAAAAGTAGGATGGGACTTCCATCAGGCTGACTGGATGTGAACAGTGGACAGTGGTTGGTAGAAAGGAGCTGAAAAATAAGACGGCCTGAAAAGTTGTTTCAAAGGGGAAAAAGGAAATCTTTAAAGTTAGAATTTGAATTACAGAATTGGAAATTGATTGTTTTTCCAAACTGGTTTCTCCTCAAGCTACCATTGTTCAGGTAGTTTCATCCCAAACTGATGCCATCAGTAGAACCAATGCTGCAACGTAAGCATGTCACCTTTACAAAAAAGACTTGGGGGCACATTTTTTATAAAATGAAAGTATAATGTTCAGTTGTCTCAAACTGCTTCCTGTGTCTTCTGCAATCAGTCTTGACTATCATTGTAACAGTAATCTAGATGCTACAGAAGAAAAACCACACATTTGTTGTATGAATGCCAAACCAACAAATAATTTTCATAAGAACTACCTTAGTTTCCTTATGAACTGAATTGCATAAAGACCTTTAAATTATGCAACATACATTTGCATATTGGAAGACAATGAAACCAGACGTTTGAACATGTCTGAGACAGATTTTTTTCAAATCATCATCACATGTTGGCACAAGAAGCTGTCAAATTTAAATCCGGCAGTATCACAGAGGTCTGCAGGCCGCTTCCTGCATAATCCATCTGTTGTTGCACCACCTTGTTCACCCTGCGGCCATACAGACGGCCTTGACCAGAAGAACTACTTCCACATTAAAGACAAAGATTCTACGCTTTTATGTTCCAGGAGTCTGAGAAGGAATGAGAGGAGGGAGGAATACTCTTTCACCTCAGCAGGGTTTTGAAGGTGAGATAATGGCGCTTGAGCTGGAAGCCTAATGAGGCCCATGTGCCCACTAGATGAGCTAATGTGTGTGTGAGTGTATTCATGAAAAAAAAAAATTACATATCAAAGGAACACTTTGGCACGGGATAAAGCGGTCCGTCTTCTTTCCCGTCTTTCCACCCCCCAGTTTTCCTACAGATGAGAGATGGATTGCGTTTTGCTTGGCCTTCATAAACTTTGGAATGCTCTAATCGGGCTCTATTCTCTGTTTTCAATCACAAACTAGTTTGCATTTACTGCTTAACTGATTCAGTGGGAATGAGGACTTTGGATATAGTTTGGTGGAAATTTGGGGGATAGAGAGACGCTTGGGAATGTATCAGTGGCAATTTGTGCATCAGCTCAACCAGAGGCACGCAATGCCATGAGAGGATTGAGATGTCATCAGTTGGGGACAATGTGATTGTTGAGAGGCACAATATCTGCCAAAACTTTCATAAAGGGCAAGGGGAAAGTACACTCACTAACTTGCGCGAAGGAAAAAGATGGAAGGTTTAACAAAAATGACCTTATGGGTGTAGTATTAAAGTTTCTGAGGCATGAAAACTGGTGAACCGTAGCAAAGCACCATTAATGGAGCTACAGCATTCACGTCATTTAAAATACAAAGGTCACCTGTTGTATGTCCAAATTTTTTATATAAAAATTTTGGTCCTGCTTTACTTACAGGCTGTAAAATTAATAAGCCGTACTATGAAACAATTAATCAAAGACTGTGGCCAAATCAAGAAAAATCCTATCTAGTGGTTAGTTCAATATAAAAGTATTGATAAAGTATTGGTAAATAAAAATTTACTATTTCAGCTAATCTGATTTCTGTCAGGACCACTATCGTCAAAGATGATTGACAATTAGCATACAGTTTGGATTGGCAGTATGGTTCTGTTCTGGGCAAGAACTCCCTGCGCATCCATGCAGCCTAGCATGGATGAGAGCAGGGAGAGCAGCAATACCCCCCCAGGGTAAACAGAACAGAACCAACATAAATGTATTGCAGATATTGTTAAAAGTTCAATAACTTTATGTACACATTTTAGAATTAGTCTGATTCAAAGGCTGAATCCCGACTGACAGAGGAGGAGTTGGGGATGGAGGAGGGGAATTAGCTATTGAGCAATGCGAAAACTGCTGATAATACTGAGCGACCTTATATATGAATGCTTAGATAGGTGTCGTATTCCTATAGGTAGATGGGGATCATCTGAGAGTCAGCTGATGCGAGCTTGACTAACGTGACCTGCCAGAACTAAAGCTACGCTTGATTTTTAGCATTTTAAGTTCTTACATCCTGCCCAATATTGTCCTCCAAACAGTGTACAAACTGAAGAGTGTCTCTATGTAGTAGGGGTTGAACGGTTCAACTTACTCACGGTTCGGTTTCTATCACGGTTTTAGAGTCACGGTTTCAGTACGGTTCAGTAAGAAAATAAGAATAATCTAACCACAAGCAACAGCACAAATAAATACAATAGAGTAAGGATACAAATAAAATAAACAGTGATTTTCAGTTTTTTTTTTTTTAGGTAGGTCTAACATTAATTTTCAGGTACAGAAACTGAATAAAGTATTTATTTATCAAATGAAATGTAAACCAGTATTGCATATTTGAGTGTATAAATTAAAGATTAATCTCTATTAAAGTTACAAAAGCTGTTCAATCAAGAGCAGTGAGTGATTTCTTTGTTGTTGCTGTTTGATTAATATTAAGAAAGGGCTGTCACTTTAAGAGAATGCACTGATCCAGTACGTTCAGCTGGCTATGTCTGCTATAGGTTACTTAACAAGATGGGCATTTTGACATAATTTTTGTGTGAATTTGTCCATTTAAACACAATACTTCAGAGAGAGCTTAATATTTGCGTGCGTTCTGAGGTGCGGGTTTGCGCGCTTTCCGATGAGCGCACGCACAATCTTCTCAGTGTGCGCGCCAGCTCGCGTCCTCTGGCTCTTAAATGTTTAAACTGGCAAAGCTTAAACGAGTTTAGCTTAAACACAGATATCAACGTGTACTGTTCAGGTCTCACCTGTGCGCGCGCGTGCACGCGCTATCAGCACCCGGGTGATGACGGAATAAATGACTGCTCATATTCCAGCATACGGCATTCGCATTGAACAACAGTGAATGGTTTGTCCACGTTTTTATTTGTTGTTGTAATGTATTGGGAAGACAGAATGCGCATCCATCAACAGAAACATATATTAGCCGAACCCTGTTTGTTTTACGTGTTATTTATAGCAAACCATATTACAGATGCGTTGTCAGATTTAAGTTGAACCGCGGTCCTAGCACGTGCCGAACCGTGTGTGGAGAACCGTACGGTTCGATTTTTTTTAAAAAAATCGTTCCACCCCTACTATGTAGGTTATGATATACACCCTCTTTGGAGAGGTGATATGACTGTGTTTCAAATCACTTATTCAATGACACTTATGATGCTACCTCAGTAGCTAGCTGCCTGTGTTGACAGTAGGCCTGGGCGATAAAAAGGTATCGATATTTATCGACGTGTCGATATTTATCGACGGTACACCTTCTTCGATATCGATAGAAAAATTGTTCGATATAACGCACGATATAGGCACGTACTATGAGTGACGCAGACAGCACACACAAACACGAACATGCTGAAATGAGTGCTGTGCCTGCCTGTGATGAGGAGATTGTGAATGAAGAATGAATATTAGTCAAATCTAAAATAAATATTTACATTTGAATGTTAGGTGTGCATCAGGAAGTGTCATTAGTGGCGCGCGAGACGCGGTGATGTAAGTGACGTTGTTGCATTTGAATGTTTTGTTAGTCTAGCCCACGAGATGCGCCGCTGCTGCGTTATTCACTCAAAATATTAGAGAAATATAGAAGCTCAATGCGGAAAAGGTCTTGAATGGGTTAAAACCGAAACCAAGCCATTCACACACTGCATATTCAGCGCATTTTTTAGACGAACAAATATGACTGCTGCACTCGCATCTCACACAAGAGATGTATAGAAAGCCATGCAAAGTTAAAACAGTTTAAACTTTTAGAAAACACGTCACAAATTTGTGGATGTTTATTCCTTTTCACTGCGTCTCATATGTTTTTAAATGCAGTCTGTGTGAATGACGCTTCGGCTCTTTGGATTAAGCAATGCATAAATACATGATGCTGTTTTGTTAATAATTGTTTATGCAATTTACGAAATTAGATTGGATTTTTATGAGTTAATTTAGACGTAATGCTCGTTTTTATAGAGTTACTTGCTTGCGTTGACTATTTAAATGCGCTGCATTATTTTGCTAATTTCGCCCTCCTGTGGCCTTGGGAGACAATTAGACCTATACAATAAAGACCTATTTAATCTGCATATAAAACATTAGAAATTAGATATTTGTTTAATTTTTATTGTGTTTGTTAAAACAAAAATGATGTTGTTTGTCTCAATAAATTGTGTTGATTATAAATACAGTGGTTAAAAGTAAAAAAAAATGTTCTATTGCTTTTTGTTTTAAAAAAGGTTATAAAAAGTCAATAATTATCGATACCGAACGATATGAAACATTATATCATTGATATGAGCTATATCGCCCAGCCCTAGTTGACAGTAGGCCTGTCACGATAACAACCTTTTGTTGTGCGATATATTGCCCCAGAAATAATTGCGATAAGAGATCTTATTGTCATTCTAAAGACCATTTTATGCCACTGAATATATAATCATAATGTAACAGCATAATAATGCAAGAAAGCCTACACACTTCCAAATGACAACAAACTTTTAATTTAAGAATATTTAGATCATGGAAATTAAATATAAAAATATTAGATACCTTAATAAATAGTAAATAAACATTTTCTAAAAAAAGTGCAAAGTAACAAGTAGAAAAAAAGAAAAATGCACAAAGGAGATTTTTCCATCTACAGATTTTTCCTTCTTTTCTCTGTAAATTAAGGGTGCACACTATTGCTGAAAAACACAATCACTACTTAGCAGTCAGATGTCCGTATGCACAAAGGCACAGATCCCTAAACAAGGCCATATCTGCAGATGAAACTTTTTTTTGTAGAAGCATTTTTTAAATTTGAACTAGCACCTCATGACTACACCCCGTTGTGTACAAGAAGCTGCAAAAGACACAGGCGCAAGTGAAATGTAAAAAACATGGTGACATTAATTTTTAAGTAAATATAATGGGCGATATATTGCATCACCAAAAATTGAGGTAATGTACATATATTGCGCGATAAGTCGATATATTGATTATTGCGACAGGCCTAGTTGACAGTAGACAGCAAAGTGGCTTGGAACAGAATTACTGGGTGTTTTGTATGCTTGAGAAAGAGTTGAGCCATATGGATGTCATAAGCTACTCACCAGCGTGAAGTCCCACTGGGGTCCAGGTGTCAGGAAAGTAAAAGAACTTCCTCGTCTCAAAGACGGCCTACAGCAAGAAAAACACAAGATAAGATTCTCAAAACAATTATTCTTCTAAAGCCATTTGAAATAAAACATTTAATTCCCTCTTCACACAGAAAACCAGACAAATACAAAGCATCCAACAAAACCCAGACCTCTGGTTGTGCAGTAATGACGTAGACCACGCAGCCAAACCTTGTAGATCCATTAATATGTCCATAACCCAACAATGTCAGTGTGCCCACAAGAAAAGCCCATAAATGTAAAGATACATCCTGTACGTACCACACACCAAGCCTGGTGTAGCCCCGTCTCCCGTGACACTGCATCATGGTCTGCAGAACCGATACAGAGAGAGCGTCACTTAGCCCCGATCTCTCTAACTCACACCAAGACACTCAGTTTTTGCCGTCTTTCAGCCACGTTCCCTTTCCTTCAGTCTCTATCCATCATGTCCTTTTACCCACAAATGCACTGCCCCTCATTGTTGGCTGGGCCCTTATTTGGGGACTGGTGACAACTGTCTCAGCGAGGTCATGTTTGCAAAGATACCCAGTGTTCCTTTTCTTTTTTCAGCCACGGTAATGGGACGGCCCGCCAAAACTTTTATACAAAGCCTTCAAAAACATTCTCACATTTATTATCTGCTAATTTACAGAACTATGAATAAATCATCAATCATTAATGGAGTTATGAGGTATTGCCGTTGGATTGTTCATTTTAGCAACATTGCAAAAAATGATCAATTACCCTGAGACGCATGTCAGCATTATTCTAAAGAAAATATTTCTGCCTTTCAAATCACTCTGAAATCATTTTTGTTCACTGATGTAATCAAGGCCAAAAGGGTGGTGAAAAATATTTTCAACAATATATTGCATTACCATATGGCTACTTGCCAAATTAATACACTACTGATCAAAAGATTTTGTTTTTGAAAAGTCTCTTATGCTCACCAAGTCTTCAATGATTTGATAAGGAACACAGTAATAATTGTAATATTGTAAAATATTATTAATTTAAAAACTATTTTCTGTTTTAATATTGTTAATGTTATTTTTTTCTGTTGATGTAAAGCTGAATTTTCAGCATCATTACGCCAGTCTTCAGCGTCACATGAACCTTCAGAAATCATAATATGCTCATTTGGTACTCAAGAAACATTTCTTATTATCAATGAGAAAAGTTGTGCTGCCAAATATTTATAAGTCTTTGCTATCACTGTTGATCAATTTAATGTGTTCTTACTTGCTTAAAAAAAAATCATACTGATTCCAAACTTTAGAACAATAAATACATGGACATAATGGAATTCTCAACTCAATATTTGAGAAGACGAAGAATATTTTGCATGAGACAACAGTCGCAGTGTTTTTTCCCCAGAAATATTTGACCCCAGAATGCTTTTGTTTTAATCGGTAAGATTTAATACTGCATAAGTTATTTAGCGGTGAAAGCTGTTTTCAATGCATGAGGATGAGTCAAAATCTGACAGCCTCCATTTATAATAACAGATGTTTTTTATATTAAAAGTCTTAATTAAATATGGGTGAACTTCATATCACAAAGAATCATCACTAAAACAGTGGAAAACAAAATGAAGACACATTCATTCTCTGGTTGCCATATATCTTGGGTGTAGGAGCATGTGAATGTTTGGGCTAATTTCTTTTATTCTGTCTGATGTGGTTTCTGCAGGCATCCCCCATCTCTATATCTTTCCATGAGTTGTCTGTTTATCATTTAGTCACTTGAGTGCAGATGACAGTAGAATGCAAATGGTGTATATGTATACAAGAAAATAGGTAATTACAGTTCAACAACTCAAGAGGAAAATTTTTTTGTGGGAAGTGAGAGAAGCTGGTTCTCACAGAAAGACTACTTCAAATGTGACTCATTTAACTTAAGGTGTGTTTAACAATTGAATTATGTCTGATGGTGTATATGGTACAGGTTGTTTCTTAATAACAATGTAAGAAATGTGGTGATGCAGTGAGCATAACATTGAGAAGCTGGGTGATCCTGGGTGTGATATTATCTGACCAGACAGAGGGTGTAAGTGTGTTAACAGAGTACAGAATCTATATCAGTGTCCACTAGAAAGAGACTCTACTGTGGGTGGTCTCGACTGCTAAAGACAACAGGGGACTAAATATGTAGGTCAAATGACGCTGCCAATACCATGATGGAGTGTCCTCCATTCCACACTGCCCTGCTGAGGCAGTGTGGAAAAGTAGAGACAGCATATTTAATTTATACGGATAAAAAGAGACTTGGCTGTGACCAGGCCAATACGTAATATGTACTTAACAAGTGATATTGAAAAGGAGTAATGCACCAATATTGGAACTTGCTGTCATAAAACGTGACGTTATAAAACACCATACAGCCTCTTGTCACACACTGTTTGTGTTTGCATGCAAATATTAGCTAAATTCATTACCTTAAAATTCACAACGTTCAGATTCATAATTAAACGAATATTTTAAGAAGCTTTTCTTCAATAGAAAATCTCCCAACGACAGCATCACAACAACCATCATCGATGTTCAAGGGGCAATATTAGTTACAATAACGTAATATAAAATAATATTTAAAATAACTATTTTCATGTTTTAAAATGTCATTTATTCCTGTGATGGCAAAGCTGAATTCTGGCCACTACACCAGCCTTTTAATGTCACAAGATCCTTCAGAAATCATTGTAATATGCTGATGTTGTGCTTAACATCTCTTATTAATGCAGAAAACGTTATTTTTCTCTGAATTTTTGAATATACGGAAAGTGTAAAACAACAGTATTTATTTGAAATAGTTTATAACATTATAATTGTCTTTGCTGGCACTTTTGACCAATTTAATGCTGAAGAGGTATTAATTTACCTAAAAAAATCACTAACCTCAAAGTTTTGAATGGTAGCATACTATTAAGATGTATTCATTCTGATCTGTCACACAGTTTAGACTGGATAGCATGTGTGGACAGTAAAACAAAACATGGGCTGTGAGAATTATGGGACTTGAGACCTTAAAATCAACATGAGATCAAATCCAACAACCTGCTATTCTAATATGCAATATTCCTCTCAATTCCCAATGGAAGTGAATCCAAATTAAACATGTCATCAGCTACTTCTGAACATGGTTGCAATATTGATTGATTACAATATTTGGCTTACACAGAAATTTTGAGCAGACTGAATACTTAATTACCTCAAGCGAACCAATTGTGGTTTTAAAAGGGAAAAATGTGAAATGGACCTGTAGTAGCCATATTGCGTAAAATGCCAACAGCAGCGTTTCCCAACCCTGTTCCTGGAGGCCCTCAGCACACTCTCCATAATCAAACACACCCGATTCACCTTATCAGCTCAATTTCAAAGACTCCAATGCCTGAAACAGGTGTATCAGATAAGAGAGACATACAAAATGTGTGCTGTTTGGGAGCTTCACAAACCGAGAAGGGATACTATGAGTGTGTAGTGCTTCCAAAACATGACTGGAATGCCGAGGTGTTGTCTGAAACGTTGGACACCGACATGACAAATATGGACCAAAGAGCACACACACCCTGTGATGGTTACATCAACACAAACACCTCAGAGTCTCTCACAGGCAATGTAACAGACTGCACAAATACACCAAATATGAGGCCTGCCCTGTTCTGAGAACTCCACAAGACATTACATCACTATAGTTATTACCTTCGAGTGTCAGATGATCAGATACGAGTGTGGGAACATGTAAGATGCTACTTTGTGTTCGTAGGTTGACGTCATTGTTGCATTGGTCGTTTTGATGTGTGCAAATTCATTTAAACACAACTGCACTTCTTGTGTATCGTATTCTGAATTTTGGACGTCCTAAGTAGTCACAATGTACCATACAAACCAATATTTAGTTTTAAGGGGATGGTCAACGTTGGTTTCAAGGTTTTTTTTTTTCTTCTGTCATTGCGAACGCAATCCCACTGACGTTAAGGTGGGAAAACACTGAAGGGGACTCGGGTTAAGATAAGTAGGTTTGGTTTCACCGTGCTTTACGTAGCAAACAAAAGAGAGGCCTTTGGAGGAATGATATGTCACTTACTCATCCAGATCACTCCACAACGGCTTCAAAAGCTCTCTTTGTTGTGGTCTCCACTGTCAAATATGAGACATCATATATAACGAACCTGTAGAAGGCCACGTAAAGGGTTTGAGTGTCAAAACGGCACAGAATAGATAATCTGAAATTGGATAACGGTTGCCTTAAACATCTACAATGTCCCGCTATGTGCAAAGCAGTGACGTTGTGCTCTTATCTTAACTATATCTGTTTTTTCAGTGCGTATTAAATGAAATGGGTTATTGTCGACTAAATCCTTAGGGATTACTGGACAAAACAAGGCATTTAATAATAGTCTATTTTGCTTTTCCGTGACACAACACTACGTCAGAACATATAGTGAGCTTTTCACGTCACCTTTTTTTTTTTTTTTGCTCATAGTTCATAGAAGGCAAGTATTAAGGCCCATTCACACCAAGAACTTTAACTATAAAGATGATTAGATTAGCACCCACACTTAGACATGATAACATTGTATTTATTATAAGGCCTAATCCTACCCAATACCTAAATTTAATAACTACCTTTACTAACTATTAATAAGCAGCAAATTATGAGTTTGAGGCAAAAGTCGTAGTTAGTTAATGGTTTGTTAATGGCAAGAATTGAACCTTAAAATAAAGTGACCATAAAAATATAATTTATAACAAAAATAAAAAATGTAATAATTTATAATAAATGTATTATAAATAATTTTATCTTAAATATCATATTTTCGTAATCATTAGATGCCAAATTCGCAATTGAAAATACATTTAAACTTTGTAAACCATCTTGCACTTTTTAGGCTATGGATGGATAAAAGGGGGAAAAAATCATGCAGCTTCTTGTAAAGAGATGTTATTACATTTAAGTGATGACTTTTCGGGAGAATAAAGAAGGTGAAACAAATCCCATAAACTTACATTAGAGTAACTGCATTATAAGGTCACTAACTACTATTTTCTCAACTCTCTGTAAACCGTTCCCTTGAAAGATATCCAATACAATGTAACTCTTTGTTTTTGAATGCTTCCGTATGAACATTCCATTAGATTCTATTTTTTCTATTTACAGGGTGACGTCATTGTGACGCTGGTGCTTTTGATGTGTATGTTGTGTGATGCTTGGGTAAGAATTTATTTTAACAGTTATACTTCCTAAAAGTCTTAGCTGCGGACCAGTTTGTATAATATCTAGGAAAGGGCTCTTTTGACATCGGCCACCAAGCACATGCCTCGCGACACCCAAATAACCACCCTAACACAACTGCATAGCAACACACTAAAAACATTTAGAATATCATAGTGTCCACATAGCAATGACTTTGCATCATAGTGGCAAGTAGCTCTCAAATTTTCCAAAAAATGTAAAAAAGTTTCCATGCCATTTTTGTTGTTTTCTGATTGTATAAGAGGCAAATAGGGTCACATTTCCTGGTGTTCCAATCAGGCAGAAGGCTTGGCATGAGAGAAAAAAAACAGACCCTCTGCCAAAATAAACTGTTGTTATTTCAGCCTGTGATAAAAGCGCATTTGATGCTCTCTGGCTTCTTTCTCAGGGTTTATGTGAGATCTTGCATATATTTGGCATGGTCTATTTACATGTGGTACATTGGACACATTATCAGATGTCTTCTTTGTTCAATATTGGTAAAATGGCTATACACCAAGATCTGACAGACGTTCAAGTCATCCATTCATTCTAACCTTTTAATCAAAAAGATGAAAGGATTTGAAGATTAAAATCAATGTCTTTGCATACAAATAAAGATGCTTGCCATACGTTTTTGTTTATTTTATATTGTCAAATTATTATATACCCGTTTAGTTTGGTTGTTTTTATTAAATCTACGTTGGTGTGTATACTTTGTAAACATCTTTGGCACTAAAATGTGAATTGTTGTTAGGAAGTCAGTCAATTGCATTACACAGCTGATTAAGTTATAATGCCGCTTTAAAACACTGCTAAGTTTTTGTGTAAAACTCTTAAGTGAGCTAAAAATAAATAAATCACTTGTTCATTTAAAACGGGTGTGTTAGAGGTTTGAGCTGAGCATGTTTAATGTTGTGGCTTGAACGCTGCTTTTATATTTTGAGGCATTAGCGCCATCGTGTGGTGGGATGAAACATTAACGTTACAGCAATACATGCGCTCTCCTGCTGTCACGCTTTGTTTTCATTAGTCGACATATTGCGGAAGTTTTTCTCACTTTTGAAAACACAACAAACTCATACACCTATACTCACCCATTTAGTGGCATGTTACAGAATAACTTATTAGATATGGTTTATATAGATAAAACTGTTTAAATGTAATCAACAAAGACGTTTTTATTAACGTTACCAGATCTAAATGCAGTTCGCATAACTGCAAAGAGTGGCATATTTGGCAAAGGGATACGCAGACCACAATAGCGCGAGCATTGGAATAATAATAAAGACCACCACCACCACCAACAGAGTGTGTGATATGATTTTCCTGACCGTTTGAAATTGCGCTCTGGAGACGCGTCGCTATCCGCCACCGACGACTTTCTCTTGTTCCTCCTCGGTCTTTCGTTCACCGGCTCCGCCATCGGCGCTGGAGATCCGTCAGTTTCCTCCATTTGAAAATGTGGACCTGGAATGCGCTACTGTAAACTGTGTATACAAAACGTAGTACAATTAAAATGAGTAATTTTGGGGGGTGAATCGAAAGGGGGAAGTTGGCAATATTCAACGGATGGGACGGATTTTGAATATGGCGGAAATCTGAAATCGTAGCCAATCAGGAGTGAGCACGGTTGATGGCGACTAATGACGTAACACTTCCGCGCCTGCGCTGTCTCGTACAATATCGTGTTTTGACGAGCTAGCCTATGTAAAATAACAAAAAAGCATTGTTCTTGTTTTTTATTCTTTTATTTCTTTAGTTCCATACACATGTATTTACCAATAACAAACCTTACTTTCTGGCATTCAATGAAACTAAGCAGTAGGTCAAACGATCTCAAGCTGCATCAGAAAACAAAAAGATGTAAAAAGCTAAACAGTCATTCTTGAGAAGTGGGACAAAACAGGGTGCAAAATTGAAAAAATAAAACCTTGTACTCAGACAAATGAAACTACATTTATGTATCTTATATGTACTAAGCTACTGAGCTATGCTATGCTTTGATACAACCTCACAACTTTTCTCTTTTTTAATAAAATTAGCTCTTTTTTTTTTTTACCTTGGACTGTGTAATATAATTTCAGCTTTATCTTTAACAGCATTCAAGATGTTTTTAACATTTCAAAACACATGTGTTAGCAGACAGATTACACTTTCACATGTGACCAACAATTCCACAACAAATATAAAATATCATGATGAAATATTATCAAAATATTCAACTGACGGAGGTGACACATCTGACGGAGTTGACAAAAAAACCTGAATTTGTAGTCATTTTAACTATCAAATACATTGAATCAGTCAATTACTGTATTAAAACAAACACAACAAACAGTGAGTATGTTATTGTTCGTAAAGCGTTTATTCAAGAGTCACATTGAAGTATTTTGATATATCACTGGAACACAAAATCTTATGGTGGTGACATCTGACGGTGTTGACAAATTTGGCATTTCTTTCACAAAACCAATGGAGTTCATGTAGTAGCGTTTTATTTGTTTCTGTTGATGCTAGATGCTAATGCAACCTGCTTCAGGAGAATACAATTATCTAAATATTTCAAATAATTTCCTCAGAATTTGGAAGATGGTGTTGACATATCATGGCTGTGACAAAGGAAATATTAACATTAGGATTTAAAATAGTCTAAAACTATAAAACTTAGCAGAGCCTGTCTGACAGTGATGTACTCTGCAGAGGTGAACTGTGGCAAGGGGGTCCTTTAGAGTGACAGCTGGCCCTGATAATCCCTGATATTATTACATTTTATTGAATGTCTGACGGTGTTGACAAAAAGTGGGGGCGCAACTTTAAAATCTTATGAAACATGCATGTGTCATTAAAAAACAACCTTGCTTTGATAGGAGATATTATTAAGTGTTGCTTTTGATAAAACAAGCTCTTTTTCATCATTAAAAAACACTTTTATCCATTTTATTGCATATGAATGATTGAACCCTTCTCTGTGGACACACTGTTTTAGTTGTAGTGAGAGGACATTAAGAAACATAGATTTGGTATAATAATGAGAAAATTAAATTGAAGGTGATAATTGTGTTAAATACATTCTATAATTAATCCCTCGGGACATGTAAAATTGAAAATATTTTTCAATAGCAGTTACCCTTGCTGGACCTGTTTTGTCCCATGTCTCAAGAATGACTGTAAAAACTCATTCTAATTATAGCCTATTTTAAATGTATATATTTTTATATATTCAATGTGTATATAAATGTATTTTTGTAAGCCCCTTGACTTTTTGTATCTTTTAAATATTATAGGTTGTTATTGTATGGTAATATCTGTTCTATTTCTAATGAAGATAAAAATGTAGCCTGAAGATTAAAAAAATATGGTAAACACTGCTGCTCATACTTAAGTCTATTTTTTACTCAACACAGCTGACTTTTAGGGGCTTTCATTTCTAAAATATTTTAATAATAGCGTCTGAATATAGTAAGGTTGATGTATAGACTTTTTTAGTGCCAATTCTACAAAACTGAACAAATCTGGTAAAGTAAGCTGGCCTAATTGAGTTTGTGGAGATGGGACAAGTAAAGGATGATATGCTGTAGTTTGTGTAACGTCAGATAAGATGACCAGTTGGTTTTGAACTTTGTGTTTGAAGGCAAATTTGTCTCGCACAATAGTCCAGACCTCATTAGAGCTGAAAATGTTTAGCTTGTTTACTGCAAACTAATGATGCCTATTCTGTACGGTTACTCATTAGAAAGGCAGTTCAAGCATTGTAAATACACAAAGAAAAGCTTGACAGTTCCCAAAGAATAAACTTTTTGTAACTATGAGTCAGTAAACCTTCCTTTTTTTTCTTTCTTTCCTTTTTATGTAAAATGCCTGCTTATTATTACTCAAGGAAAACTTAAACACAAACAAAAAAAAATCTAGTCTGTTGTAGTTACATTTTTATTATTATACACCACATAATAATAATAACATTGACATTTTATGACGTTGTGTGCCTGCTGGGAAGCTGCTTTAAAACAATGCATATTGTGAAAAGTGCTACAACCTAAAATGATCTGAACTATTTATATCACAAATTTTCTGCATATATTAGCTACATGCCGAATTTTTAGCTTGTGTCTCCTTCCAACCAACAGAGGGCAGAATTGATCTGCAGATGAAGTCAGTTTGGGAGCAGGTATTCTCTGATGGAGTGTTAATTACAGCATTTTCATTTATTTGGTTGTGAATACATAGTTAGGGTACCTCAAAATAGCAACCAAGCTTATTAAAATTTCACTCATATTCAGCTGAAAAGAAAACATTTATTTATATTTTTCCAGTGTATTTTTGCAATAACCTCTTCAAAGGCCTGAGCGCACATGAAGTAGGAAAAGGGCACTGATGGCCCTTTGAGCGCAATGGGAAGCCGAAGAATTGATCCCCAGTCATTATAACCGATTTCAAATGGTGCTAGATGACAGAAGGGACTCTAAGCACCAGAGGAAATCAGTCATCCTTTGGTGGGGAGAGATGGGGGCAGGAACAGCCAGAGAGGGAGAAAGAGCTTCAGAGAACACAGTCTCTCTTTACTAGCCCGTTCAGGTAAAGTTAACAGTTCAAATGAGGGAATGAGAAAAACAAATGCACACCACAGTTCCTATAAAGAAGGATAAGTAGGCAAATCCAAACACACACTCTTTCACAATGTATTCATACAATAAATAGCCTATGGTCTCTGTAAGCAAGTAGTTATTAAATCAGTCCTATATCATAAAACTTGTTTAATGTAAAGTGATTCCTGCTTGTTTCCCCACAAGGAAACAATCCCTGGTTATCATTGAACCTCATTTTGAAGAATTCAATTAACATTGCATGTTTTCTAGATGAAGTTTGTCAAGCTATTTGGTTGTATTTTAATGAGAAATGAGAAATTACAATTGAATTAAAGTTAGTTTAAGGTCCTGTGGCATTTCATCACGCCAGTGTTATTGTGAACTAAAACTATAAAAAGTTATACAATAAATAAAATAAAAATATTAAATTAAACTTACTAAAATTACTAAAAATTAGAAATGTTGCCTTGGTGACTAACTGAAATAAATTAATCTGAACTACTAAACCTGGAAAAAGGTAAAGAGAAATATTTAAAAAAACTAATAAAACTAGAAAAGTGAATTCAAAATATTAATAAATACTATAATTGTACATAAATACTATCATTTCTCATTGCTGTCACACATGTATAAATGCATACACTGTTATAATACAAGATATTGCATCATATTCCTTTTGTTCCTACTTCCATGTTCTGCATCATTCACAGACATTGTATCATGCAAACGTAAGATATCATCTCAAGATAATCAAGCCTTACAGAAACATTCAAAACAACATTTAACCCTGATGTTTTAGTGGATAAATACGGCAGTGTATAAAATGTTCACCTACTTCAACTTAAGCTCAGTTTAAGTCATTACAACTCATTTGTGTTATATTAAATTAGCTTGATGTTATATTAAAATAATGAAGTTAAATTAAGTTGAAATTGGTTAAATTATTTACATGAATTAAAGCAGTAGAAAAACATTTGTCATGACTTAATTTAACCAATTTTAAATTAATTTAAAAGTTTAAATATCTTGCAGCCAATTTAAATATACAAATTTAAGGCAAATGAACAGAAGTTTTTAAGTTTTAGTGTTTTTTTTTTACAGTAAACAGCAGTATTTTCCTTGTGGGACTGGGCTGGCTTGTTCATACCGCATTCATTTGACTTCCAGCACATCTGAGTGAGTTCATCAAGCGCTTGAGGCAAACCATGAGCTCTATGGTTCTCCTGTGATTCAATAGACGCACTTCCCTCACTTCTCTTGAAAAGCCACTCCACCCACTATAGATTCCTTGTCCTTTTTTGTTATTCTTTGACTTCTCTTGGGATCGTCCATGGCTGTGAAACGTGATCCAGCGGCAATTCCCTCCCCAAGAACACTGATTTCAAATGGTGCTAGACACTGGTAGAATACATCTAAACCACCATGTGAAACCAGCATCTGGAGGAAGCGTCCAGGAGTGTGAACGATCCCATCAGAAGTCCCTATGTCACTGGCTGAGCTGATGATTAACGTAACAGGAAGAGCAAAAGGTTGAAACAGCAGTGGGCATGCTTTAACAGGAAGTGACTGTCAAAACAAATGTCACGGTCATGGTCACTATGGCGTTGTGGTTTTGAATGCTGACGTCCACTTTTCTCCATTGATACCAAAGTTGTTGATCAGTTGGATAAGATCGTGACCGCATCTTATTGCATAACACACACAATGTGGTTTGATGTATGGTGTGTTTGTGTATAAATAGGCCCTTGATTGCCCAGAAAGAATCCCTGCATCGGTTTTGTCAGTGGGAGGATGACGTCAACCCTTTTTCAAAGGAGAACTGCTGGGAGATGGAAATTATGAGTCACTGGTAGATCTCTAAACAATGTCATCATTCAAAGTAGCCGTCAAACATGAACAGGATTGGTCGCTCACCTGCGGCCAGGCCAATGAAGGTCCTTGAAGTAAACTCGTGCTC